AGAGATACCTAGGTACCTCATCGAAAATTTGAAAGGTGCCAATCACATAAACTTGGCGAATCTTCAGAAAAAACAGATATACATTTCAACGTTGCCGAAGAAGCCTTCATGACTTGTTAAATCCGTGTATCTTTTCATATATTTACACACATGCACTTGTACATTTCACAGTATGTATGTATATATTATATGCATAATATTTTTTTACTGTATTTGCTCCTCACGTAAACAGTATTCACTACTTCCACCCTCCTTTCTTTTTGTAAATGACAATTGACAACACGTTTGTCTACTTTCTTCACATATTCTACTACTATTTATGCATGCACCACTTGTTCATAACATTTCATTTTTTGTACTTCTTTACTTACCTTTTTCAAAAATTGTTTCCTGCTTTCTTCTTATGAATGACAAATGATAACATGCAACTTTATATTTTCATATTTTTCAAATACTCTCATTCATAACTACAGACAATTTCTATTTCTCTCTTTACGCGCTTCGCGGTGGCGGACGCGACATTTGGACGTTTGCACGTGGTATTTCCCGATTTCTCCTCTAATTAAAGGCATTACAAATAATTATTATTATCGTTACCAATTTTAATAAAAAACTTTTTTGAACGTAGACAACCCTAATCACTGCAATGCAAATAAAAATTATGATAATCTTTTTTATGATCGTAATGCTGTTTTTCTTATGCAACCCATTTTACAAAATCTTTAAACGCTGCAAGTATCGCCATCTGCCAGGTTTAGTCACAACTATTTTGACAGGAGAGTTGAAACCGCATGCATATAGCCAGATAGTCAGAATGTGGCGCATCAGTGGCTCCCCACCACATCAACTTCAATTCCTTAACCAAAACCAGCCAAAACATGAATATAGAATTCATTGTGTGAACATGGCATGAACATAACCTAAATGATAAACAAAAACTAAACTGACAAAATATTTAAAAAAAATGCAGCAGAACACAGTATATATTGGCATTACATTTTAACTTTTAGTTTTTTTTTTCACTATATGAGTATTTTACAATGAGCTTGACAGAGAAAAAGTTAGTGACCACTGTTCCTACTAAAGAAGAAATATACGTTCAAGACTGCATCGTTAGTTTTTCCACTTATTTACCTACGTTTGTTGATAACTTGAAAAATATAAAGAATGAAATAGCTCAACCGACACGCAATTTGAATAATTTGTCAGAACAGCTGAGGCATATTAATAAGTAGGAAGATGATACTTTTTGTTTATGTGTAATAGTCATAATGCAGTTTTTTCGAGTAGGTTTTCATCATGTGATGCTGAGGACTTTCAAGAGATGCATAATAAACTAAATTTTAAAGTAGCTACATGTATAGAAGAGGAGTTGTCAATTATATCAAAAATTATGTAGGTATACAACGTGCCTATGTCATTATCATTTTCTTTTTAATGTAACACTTGCCTTGCAATTTCAGAGAAAGATTTCAAAACAATTATAAATATCTGAAGAATAAAATAATGCTTTTGGAAAGTTCCACATTAAAATTAGATTGGAATAGGGATTCAGATTTAATAAATGGAACTGCCACTCAACCCAAATTATCGCTTCTTTTAGAATTGTGTTTACAGTTTTGGACTTCTATTTCTACAACTTATCGTAACGTTATTTCTTTTCATAATCATTTAGATGTAAGAAATGAAGAAACAGTAACTAACTTTTGTAATAGCTTCAAGTTTAAAGTGGACAGCGACGATATAAATTATCTATTGGCTATAACTCAATATCTTAGAAGTTAGAGATTTCTTATGTAATGTCTAGTTTATGTTGAAATGGTTTATTTTAAACATGTTGTTTTATTAAAGTAACATCAAAACGGAATGTGCTGGTTATAAATAAAAGAAAAAACATTGGTCTTGTTGCGTTTCTGTTATTTTTCCAGAAAAATGTAGAAATTCGATACTCAATATGAACTCTAAAATATTATAAGTCAAATAACAACTGATCTCAAACAGTTTCCTTCTTTATGAAGGAAAAAAAAAACATTTTTGGGATTATTCTATAAAATTTTATTATTTTTAATATAAAATAGTATCCTGCGGTAAGAAAAGCTGCCGTCATTTGGAGGTGGGGCTAAAACGTTTCATTTTTGAGAAATCAATCAGTTTTTAAGCTTATTCCGTGAAATGAGAGAATCAGGGAAATCTTTTCCCTAATTATAAAACTATCTTTTTAATACATGTTTAGTAATATAAGGAAAAAGATGTACGTTCAGATGTAAGAGGTCTCCGAAACTACTCATCCAAATTCTTTCATTAAGTATATTTAGAATAGACTTTTAGGCTAAACATAGAATGAATATTATTTTGTTAAAATAAAAACTTTACGTAGACCAATTTTGCATGGTGTCGATGAAAATGTAGTCGAACGATTACATTGCCTTAACTGTAAAATGAGATACCTATATGTATGTATGAAGGCTTTCCATGGAAAATTTGTAGAGCTTAAAAATACCTGTAAAAAAGATCGCGTAGAACTTCGCCTTAGTTCGCGTCCAAATATACCGCAAGTCCTATTTTACTCCTTTGGGAGTGGTATTTTGAAAACTCATTTTATATTGGATGATACTGTTGTATAAAGAACCATTGTGCAAAATTTCAAACTTTCTAACAAAGCGGTTTCGACTGTACATTGATAGATACATCAAATATTGAACTCCCTTTTCACTCCTATAGGGGTTAAAGTTTTCTTTTTCTGTGTTGTATAAGGAATGTCTCTGTCAAGTCTCCAAGCTTAGGAGTTTGAGCTTTGCGTTGATGTATCAGTCAGTCGGTTTATTTTTTTATATTTATAAACTATATAAAATGTTATAAAAGATTAATTCATAAATTAAATACATAACATCAAAATTGTTTTTTTTTCTATTTTTGTACCTTACTCAATCAGATGGAAGCTTTTCCGAATCCTCTCACTCCTTTTCGCCCCCCTCTCGTACCCTTTATTAAAAATTGTTAAACATAAAAGTTATGTATCAAAAAATTGTTGTACCATATCCCTACCGAAAGTACAATTTCAGAGACGAAAGCGCAATATTTTCTTTCGAGAAAAAATCGTATTAACTTACTCCTTATTGAGAATTAATTTTACTACCTTCCGCGTGATTTTCACTCTTCCTTTAGCTCGGGAGTTTGCCATCCTCGCCTTCGACTTGGGTGAGCAATTATTCATTCAGGAAATGCCATTCTTTCTTTCGTTGGTGCCTAATATACTTACTATTAATATTTTTTGGCGTTGCTTAGGATTACTTCCGTTATATGTATTTATAAATAGCACACAGGGCGCCGCAAAAGTACTTTCAATATTTTTAATCAGAGATGTACCTAATTTATTTGAAATACTTTATTTGAAATAATTTAAAGTGCAAATAAAAAATACCTATTTTTATCTTGCATTTAAATTCTTTTTTGAGAAAAGCATTTTGTATTTTATTTAAAATAATTTTCCAAACGTATTTTCTATTTGTAAAATACATTCTTGCTATTAAAAGTTTTGCAAGTATTACCACCAAAATGATGAATGAAAGTTGCTCGCATTGGCCACTGAAGTTATTAGAAGCTTAAAAAGGCGACAAAGAGAAATTTTATGAATGCCTTTCTAATTCTTTAACTGAAGAGAGCCCAAAAAATTCTAAAGTCCTTGGAAAAGGATAATCTAAATTATTGGATAGATATTTTCCGGGTTCAATGTTTTGGCCCTTTATGTGCGCTGAATTACCATATACGAAGACGGTTCAATAGCTTTACCGAAGTGTTTAAATACAAAATGTATTTGTCCTGTGACTTCACGATGACACTCTCTACAATCCAGCCCCTGAACACGCAGATGAAGTGGTGACGCGTCAGTAAGATGAATGGGCGTTCCTGAGAAGTGAACGTACTGTATAAAATCTTTCTGGCTCTTGTCTCTCGGCGGTTGGCGCCGTTCTCTCCGACGAGTTCGTACCCCGACCTGTACGTAAAACGAGAACATTATTTAAATAAATAGCTCTCTTAGTTTTTATGATAATTATTCTTCAAATAATAACACTATGATTAATTAACCTCTCGCTCAATAGTGAATCGCTTTCTTTCTCTTCTAATTCGCCTTCGATCATGTCGTAACTAAAAATGTACCTACATTTTCCGATTTCTGTTTGATTTTGTGGAAGAAGTGAAATCTTCGAAAGACGTCCAACTATCCGTATGACTGTATAGTGTTGGAATCTCTTTGAATAAAACCTACTATCTTAAACCCCCCCTATCTCAGGGAGTTTTAGGACCTTTTATGAATCCTATGAGTTGTTGTGGTCCCCTTCCGACCTCATGGCAGCTATTTATAGAGGCTAGATTAGCTCTAAAAAGATTCTATTTTAGAATGTGATTCCAAAAAATTTTGACCTGTGATAATACTATCACAATAATTATATCAAAAGGTGCATTATTGCGCAGTGTTTTTATTTGTACGCCTCATGTATTTTGCTGGTTTAAAAAAAGAAAACATGAAAACATTTCAATATATACAGTAATTTCTACGGTTTTAACGGTCTTGTTGAAAATTCAATCAGTAATAACAATTTGACTGGATTATTATTTGAATAATTTAAACTTGAACGATTGGTTTAGGACATTGTTGAATAGAGATGGTATAATAGAAAGCTCGCTAAAGCACAGGTCGTAGTCATTTTCCAAACTTCTACATTCTTCATTTAAAATAAATTTATTAAAAGTGTATTATTTATTTTCAACATGACGAATCTGCAAAACTAAAACTGAAACCTCGACTTAACGGGACATTTACACAGTTTTCTATTTACCTACAACGGACTGCAAATAAAAATGAAGTATCCATCAATTTTACTTGGTTTCAATTGTTGGAAAATTTTGTAAATCAATACTTTCGAAGAACAGATTGTTGCTTTTAACATTAAACGCGCATGCCTTTCTATTGATTTCATTCTAATTCAAGTTAGTGTACACTGCTTCGCACTACTCATATAAGTGCTTCATGCTTACATTTTAAAAGTTTTAAGGTAATTGATAGGAAATATGTTCAAATGTTGTAAAATATTAAAGGCACATAACAGTCATAAAAACTTCTTATTTCTTATGCAAATTATATACATCTTTTTTCATGAACTTGTGTATTTCATTTATTTAAAACAAAATCTTCTTTATACAGATTTTAACCTTCACACACTTCGCTATGATTTTCTCCCAGAAATTTAATTGACAAATCCTTCCAAAATCTCTTCTTAATAACTTAATATAATGGCAAATCCAGCACATCTGGTACGTCAGCAAAGCTCTAGGGAGCTTAACCCTCAACGATCTATTGACCGTTTAGAAATGAAAGAACTCAGAGGACGATTAGTCGTTGAAAATGGAAGTAACACTGGTTCCTATGGAGCAACGAATGCAGCCTTTGAAGATTCCAGTCCTAATACTAAAGTTAAATCAACATACAGTAGTCGGAGAGGTAAATAAGATCTTTTTACTTTAAAAATTTCATTATTTGTAATTTGTTTCATATCTTTGTAGGGTCAGTTGATGGAAAAGCAATCTTTAAACCAGAGAATCAAGAAGATGAGAGAGAATCGTGGGATAGCAAATTAACATTTTTATTGGCAACTGTTGGATACGCTGTGGGTCTAGGAAATGTATGGAGATTTCCGTATTTAGCACAGAAAAATGGTGGAGGCGCTTTTTTAATACCCTATTTCATTATGTTGGCAATTGAAGGAATTCCGATTTTTTATTTGGAACTAGCACTGGGGCAGAGATTGAGAAAAGGCGCTATAGGGGTATGGAACCAAATGTCGCCGTATCTTGCAGGTATTTTCACGATTAATTTGAGAAATACAGAATAAAAAATCATATATTATTTCAGGTATAGGAATTTCAAGCGCAGTAGTTTCTTTCAACGTAGCTCTTTACTACAATACGATTATCGCTTGGTGCCTATTCTATTTTATTCAGTCGTTTCAGGCGGAATTGCCATGGTCTACTTGTCCAAATGTGTACTTTCCCAACAGCTCTTATGCCCCTAATCCAGAATGTATGGTAAGAAGATACATACATACATACGTATTTATATTTATATAAATTATTATTTTAAACAAAGAAGATCAAATAAGTTCCCATTTACAAAATATTTAGAATTTACTCCCAATCCCGCGAGTGCTGTCAGACAGTGACGCTATTCAGGGAATTAGTTGAAGATCGTCTACGTTAACTACGCAAATGCACATTGTCCGCTTCTTTATTTACAATCACTGATTTTATTTAAAACATCCCTGTAGTTACTGAACAGTGCCATGATGAACTTATTCCCTCAGGCTGAATGACGCTATTCAGGGAATTAGTTGAAGATCGTCTACGTTAACTACGCAAATGCACATTGTCCGCTTCTTTATTTACAATCACTGATTTTATTTAAAACATCCCTGTAGTTACTGAACAGTGCCATGATGAACTTATTCCCTCAGGCTGAATGACGCTATTCAGGGAATTAGTTGAAGATCGTCTACGTTAACTACGCAAATGCACATTGTCCGCTTCTTTATTTACAATCACTGATTTTATTTAAAACATCCCTGTAGTTACTGAACAGTGCCATGATGAACTTATTCCCTCAGGCTGAATGACGCTATTCAGGGAATTAGTTGAAGATCGTCTACGTTAACTACGCAAATGCACATTGTCCGCTTCTTTATTTACAATCACTGATTTTATTTAAAACATCCCTGTAGTTACTGAACAGTGCCATGATGAACTTATTCCCTCAGGCTGAATGACGCTATTCAGGGAATTAGTTGAAGATCGTCTACGTTAACTACGCAAATGCACATTGTCCGCTTCTTTATTTACAATCACTGATTTTATTTAAAACATCCCTGTAGTTACTGAACAGTGCCATGATGAACTTATTCCCTCAGGCTGAATGACGCTATTCAGGGAATTAGTTGAAGATCGTCTACGTTAACTACGCAAATGCACATTGTCCGCTTCTTTATTTACAATCACTGATTTTATTTAAAACATCCCTGTAGTTACTGAACAGTGCCATGATGAACTTATTCCCTCAGGCTGAATGACGCTATTCAGGGAATTAGTTGAAGATCGTCTACGTTAACTACGCAAATGCACATTGTCCGCTTCTTTATTTACAATCACTGATTTTATTTAAAACATCCCTGTAGTTACTGAACAGTGCCATGATGAACTTATTCCCTCAGGCTGAATGACGCTATTCAGGGAATTAGTTGAAGATCGTCTACGTTAACTACGCAAATGCACATTGTCCGCTTCTTTATTTACAATCACTGATTTTATTTAAAACATCCCTGTGGTTACTGAACAGTGCCTTGATGAACTTATTCCCTCAGGCTGAATGATGGTTAATTGCAATAGATCTTCCCTCTTCTCTGCAGATGAGCAATGTTTGCAGCTGTCCAGGCAAAGTCTCCGGGACAGTGCATCAGCGTTGCCGAGTTGTTTGTCACTGACTTTAAGCGTTACGTCATTAAAATTCTTATAGTCCACACAAAATCTCGTGGAGCCATCCTTCTTGCGTACCAGCACTATCGGAGAAGCCCAGAAATTTTGAGATGGTTCTATTACCCCTTACTTATGCATGTCTTTTATAAGATTATTGATTTCCTCTTGCTTCGCCCAAGGAACCCTTCTAGGTGGTTGTTTGATGGGCCTTGCTGTTCCAGTGTTGATGCGGTGGTATGTTAAGTTGGTCCTACCAAAGTCTTGATCTGAGAGGGCGAAAATGTGAATACGGCCAAAAGTTTCTTCCAGTTGTTTGACTTCATGCTTGTTGAGATAGTTACTTAACCGTTTCACCAGTTCAGATATAGTTGAAGGAAGCGATGTCGATTTCGTCTCAAGTTCTTCTTCCCATTCTCAGTGAGGGATTTCAGCTACTGGTTTAAATACACCAAATTTTGTACTTTTGCAGATCATTTGCTCGAAATCTTTCAAATTTATATATGATATCCAATATGCAAATATTTAAATTAAGTGCTAGTTGCCCTTCATTAGTAAGCAAGGCGATTATCCATTTTTCGAAGGACAGCATGTAGGATTTTAGAAGTTATATTGGGATCCGTCAAATGGGAGGAGCCTAAAAACTTGGCGCCGATTAGGGAAAATTTATCGTAGTTCCTATAGTGTACCGTGCAATTTCCAAGTTTTTAAATTACGATAAAATGATAAGTATTGACACAATATGTGATTGGGCTGACACAAAGCCTCGGAAAGGAAATTTCGTTGAAGGTGAGCGTGTTTTTAATGCCAATCACATTATAAAATTCGGAAATAACAAATCCGGAAGCTAGCCTTCAAATTCCGTCAAGTTTACTGCCTACTTTTTACAAACTTCGGATTTAAAAAGTGATTCACGTTATATAATTGGTGAGGTGATTCTGGGTGATTTAAGCAATATCATATCAATGACTTGCACGTGCAAAGCCGATTTAAGAGAACGTTGCAAACACATTATTGCAACTTTGTTGTATTGCAGCAGGTAGGTTCTTAACCTCAAAATACTTATATCGTATCATTAGAATTGTGTTAAATCAATTACACAGGAATAAATAATTTCTCACTTTATAATTTTAGTATGATTCTAGTTTTAAATATTAAGGTTATGGCTGATGGTAAATACTTGCTGAAATATAATCATGTGCATTAAAATGACGTGAACAAATTTTTATTCCGGAATTCACTTCTTTGATACCTACTGCTTTCATCCAAGCTTCTATTAGTTTACTTTTTTCTCTAATTTTCCGAATATATTTTTTACATATATAAAACGGTTAGTTTTTATTGGAAAGTAGTTAATGTAGGTGAAGAGTGAAGATCTATGTCTGAAGTGCTATTGCAGCTTTTCACTGAACATATTAACTTTTTATTTGATTTAACTTTAGAAGAAAACTTCGTCGACTCCATCATCAAAAAAATTTTTACTTTTTTAACGTGTTTTATTATTTTAATAAACAATTTTACAATTTGAGTGCACAGTTCCTATGTAAATTTTTCCCTCATTCGAGTTACAAATTTTGCCACCAGATGGTGTATGCCCATTTGACGGATCCTAATACCAGCATTTTGTATTAAAAACTTTTCTTCAAAAGCAATAAATTAACAAAAATTACTTCACCTCAGTTTACAAGATATTAACAATATTTTACATTTTCTTGGTTATTAATTTCGTCAGTAATTAATGATCAAGTTTACAAAACCCTTACTGTCATAAATCAAGATGGTAGTCATATATACAATTCAGAGGAGATAGACACGAGGGGAATTATTTTCATCCTGAAAATACAAATAAAATTTTTGTTACTTCTTCTAATTTTTCGTCTCCAATCTTTATATTTGCTCTTTCCCTACTTTTTGTTGTTTTACTTTTATTTATTTGCAACACCAACTTGAAATCACTTTTCGATTTTGACCTACTATAAATTTCCTCAAATTAATGAGGAAAATATTTTTTTTTTTGTAATAAATAATGTTTTATTTATTTTCGTACAGTCCTGTTCAGTTAATACCGCTTCTATTTTATTTAAAGCTCTCTCTACCTCTTTGCTAGACGCTAATACTGCTATATCATCTGCAAATCTAAGCATACTAATCTTGTGCCCCTGTATATCTATCCCTACGGTTGTACTGTCTTTAATGATGCTGATCGCGTCTTCGATGTATAGATTGAAAAGTAGCGGTGACAGTGTGCATCCCTGTCTGACTCCCTTCCTAATATTTACTTCACTACGTTGCATCCCTAGCTCTATAACTACCTGTTGCTCTTTATACAAACTGAGTATCACTGTTCTATCTCTATAACTCATCTCTACATTTTTAAGTATATTTAACATCTTCTCCCATTTAACATTGCACAAAAGTTTTTTCTAAATCTACAAATCCTATGTATGCACCCTTTCCTTTTTCTATCGTTTTCTCTAAATTGTTACCTGTAAAGCTCGAATGACCTCCCGCGTTCCTGTATTTCTTCTAAACCGAAATTGATCTTCCCCTAATAGTTTTAATAGAAGTTAAGCTAATTGTTCTAAATGTCTCGAACCTATTCGCGCCTCTATTTTTAGGTGTAGTTACTACCACGTTCCGTTTATAATCCTGTGGGACTTTCCCCGTCTCGTAAATGTTACTAACTAGCTTAAACATACGATCTCTAACCTCTTGTCCTGCATGTTTTAGAATTTCCGTCTGTATCCCCTCTATACATGGCTCTTTATTATTTTTTACGTTTTTTAATGCTACTCGAATCAAACTCTTCTCTCATTATGGGATAACCTCGTTCATCTATCTCCACACTATCTTCCTTCTCTAATATATCTCTTAGCTCATGGTCTGCGTATAGGTTCTCTAAATATTCTTTCTACCTATCTGCCTTTTCCTTATTTTCTATCAACGTGACCCCTGCCTCGTTTCTTATATTATTACTACTCTACCCTACATCCTTAAAATTCCTTTTAATTCTACTGTCAAATAAAAAATTTCAATTTAAAAAGCAGATTAAAAGGGATACTAACTAAAAGAAATCAATTACTTTTTCTTCATTTTAGATCAGCGGTCCTACCCAATACTTTTGGTATCGCACAACTTTAATGATATCTGAAGATATAAATACTCCTCAAGTGTTCAACTGGAAAATCGCCGTTACCCTAGTAGCTGCCTGGACATTGGTTTACATGTGTATGATAAAAGGGATAGTCAGTTCACCGAAAGTTGTTTACGTGACTGCTACGTTCCCTTATATCGTTCTTATTATTTTTTTCTTTCGTGGAATTACATTGCCAGGAGCTGGCGACGGGCTACTACATCTTTTTACTCCTAAATGGCACACATTACTGGATCCTGTAGTTTGGTTAGAGGCTGGAACGCAGATATTTTTTTCTTTGGGACTGGCCTTTGGAGGCTTGATAGCTTTTTCCAGTTACAATCCAGTAAACAATAATTGCTATCGAGATGCCGTTTTGGTTTCTTTGACGAATTGTCTTACTTCAATGTTTGCAGGGGTTGTAGTATTCTCCATAATAGGATTTAAAGCAACGATGGTATATGAAAAGTGTCTGAGATCACAGAACGAAACCCTGTCGAAAATTGAAGAGTTCTCCACCGAATACCCGGTTAATATTAGCAAACTGAATACTCCCAAGTGCGACCTTCAGAAAGAACTCGATAATGTATGTATAAAGTCTTCTTCTTATAATTTTATTGTATTGCTTACAACTTTAATAAAAACTATAGTAGTATTAGCATCTAGCAACGAGGAGTTAGAGATAGCTTTAAATAAAATAGAAACGGTAATGACAGATCAGTACTGTATGAAAATAAATAAAAGTAAAACTAAAATACTGGTATGCAAGGGAAGAAAAAGTAGGTAAAAAGTGAATATAAACATAGGAAACGAAAAATTAGAAGTGGCTGATTTTAGATATCTAGGAAGTCAGATAAGTCAGGACGGAAGGAGTAGTAGGGATATAAAGCAGAGGACAGCCTTTAAGAAAAAGAAGTCACTTCTATGCTCGCGAACGGTTAATTAAGAAATTCTAAAAAGATTGTTAAAGGTGTATGTTTGGAGCGCGGCGTTGTACGGGTGCGAAACATGGACAGTGGGCGTGGCGGAAAAGAAAAGGTTAGAAGCCGTCGAAATGTGGGTAGAAAAGGTTAGAAATGAAGAGGTATTAGAAAGAATAGGAGAACAGGGGACTCTATGGAAGTCAATAGGAAATAGGCGAGATAGGTTGGTAGGATACCTTCTCATGCATGAAGGTCTAGTCAGAGACGTAGACCTAGGTTACATTACTGTTCGAAAATAGTTAAGTTAAAATTTAAAAAAGTATTGAATGACGGAATGGCTTACAAGTTTAGACCATTGCTTAGAATTCGCGAGGACACCGGTTCGATTCCTTTTGTCTGTCTGCTCTGATTCAAGTTTTTCTGTGATCACTTAGGCAAACGCTAAGGCAGTAATATTCTGTCTTCATTTTGTCCGTCTCATCTTTCTTATCTCAACCACCACCCACCCACTCCTACGATTCCTAATAGGAAATTGAAGATGACAATCCCCCCAACCCGACGTAATCCGAAAGGATTGCCCGCCCACATTTCTACATTTCTAAATATGTAACAACTACGTACCTACTACTTTATAATATTTGACATTCTTAATACTTATTATAACTTGACAAAACTAAAAGTAACTACGACAGTACAACCAGCCTAAAACATCTACAAATGAAACATCCAAAAGCTAAAACAGAAAAAATTATTTAAAAATTATTATAGTAAATGCTCAAAGATATCATACTGCTTTTCTTGAATTATATTAGTAAATATGCATAGATTTTAACAACAGACTTTTATAATTCTTAGCATGTTTTTTTTCTTTATAGTCCGCATCAGGCACGGGACTGGCATTTATAATTTTTACCGAAGCAATAAATCAATTTCCCGGAGCACCGTTTTGGTCTTTACTGTTCTTCTTGATGCTATTCACCTTAGGAATTGACTCACAATTTGGTACTTTGGAGGGAGTAGTAACGTCTGTGGTGGATTTGAAACTATTTCCAAATCTTAAAAAAGAATACCTTACGGGAGGTATTTGTTTACTATGTTGCATAATTTCCATGGTATTTGCCCACGGAGCTGGAAACTATGTTTTCATATTGTTCGACAATTTTAGCGGAAATTTTCCTCTTTTGATTGTTGCCTTTTTTGAGTGTATGGCGGTTTCCTACGTCTACGGATTAAAAAGGTTGTACTAGCAATAATTCCACGTTTTAAATCTAACATTTTCCGTATAGATTTGCAGATGATATCGAACTGATGATTGGACAAAGACCTGGCCTATATTGGTTAATTTGTTGGAAATATTTGTCACCGTTGGCTATGGTTTCAATCTTGATAGCCAGTTTTATTGAAATAGCGGTAGGAGGATCAGGCTACGATGCGTGGGTTGCTTCCAAAGGGGTAACCGAGCGCCGCGAGTGGCCCCATTGGTCTCTTGGGCTTATTATATTCTTAATAGTAATCTCCATAATGTGGATTCCACTAACTGCCATGCTGAGGTAAGTGTTTTATTGAATGTAATATAGTGTGATTATCAAATAAAGAAAAAGAAAAAGAAAAATAAAAAAATTTAATAGTGATTGTTGAAGTAAAGATAATTATAATTTTCAAAATTTTGAAAAACAGTTGTAATTTTTAAACGGGCTGGAAGATAGCTACACTTTACATTATATAATCTACAGGGTGTTTTGCGCCTTTGTCCATAGCTCTGTTATTATACTTTTAATAAAAAAAAATTTTTCAAAAGTAATCTGGAATCATGTAGTGGTTAATTTAAGTCGAACACCTTGTATACTTTTACATTTTTCTTTCTTAGGTATGTACTGAAAATTGCAATGTCATTTGCCTATAGCATTATTTAAGTAAATACATAAAACTATCAAGTTTACGTAAAGGTTATAAGTAAATATATGCATAAACATATGGCATGATCTTCATTTTTAATTGTAATAATCAAGCGTAAGATGATAACACATTTCAATGCAATTATATTCCACAATAACATATTAATTAATCTCTACGGTATACGCACCGAATACCGATAATGGAAATATAATATTAAAGAACACATTATTACATACAGTTTGTTTTTAAAAATATTACATACGAAGGAATGTCAAGTGTGTTGTATTTTTTAATTATTTTGTTATAAAATAACGTAATAGTAGGTGTTCTTGCCTTGGTTTAACTATTTTTTTAAGTAGTGTACATCCTAATTTTTTACCAATTAATCTCCTAAAAACATTGATGAGAAAAATATTATACCTACGATTATTTTTAAATCAATTCAAATATTGATTATGATGATAAAAATTCGGTTAAACGTTTAATTAGATGCGAGCACCTTTTTCGAATTGACTGCGATATATTGCCTTTATCATATTATTAATAAAGATACAAACAAACACTATTAACATTCCCATCAATACAGTCCTATCTCATTACTCATAATCAAAATTAGAAATTGTATAATCACAATTCGTCATCTGTAATACGGACGAATTTTGTATAATAAGTTGGCCGCGACTTCACTATACATCTCATATAACTCATTTTATATCTAGTGGATTAAATAAAATTAATTGTAACGCTTTTTTTCTATAAAAAATTCCCGAAACCGCATTGAAAACTAGTGAAGGGTGAGTGTTTAGGGAAGTTAAAGCTTGTGGTTGTATGTATAGGTTTGAATGAGGAATTTGAAAAAAATATAAAAAAAAAACATGAAGTAGGTACCTATACAAAAATTAAAAAGCGAATGTAAAGATAGGAGACGAAAAATTAGAAGAAGTAGCTGATTTTAACTATTTAACAAGTTAGATAAGTCAGGACGGAAGAAATAGTGGGGATGTAAAGGAGAGGATACCGCAGGGTCGAGTTCTCTTCAATAAAATGAATTCACTTCTTTGCTCGCGAACGGTTAATTTAGAAATTCGGAAAAGTATGTCAAAAGTGTGTTTGGAGCGGGGCGCTGTACGGGTGCAAAATATAGACGGTGGGCGCGGCGGAAAAGAAAAGGTTAGAAGCGTTAAATGCGATGTTACAGGCTAATGATGAGGATACAGTGGATAGAGAATGTTAGAAATGAAGATGTAGAAAGAATAGGAGAACAGACGACTCTATGGAAGTCAGTACGTTGGTAGGAAGCCTTCTCAGGCATGAAGGGTCAGTTAGAGACATATTAGAGGCAGAAACAGGAGTTACAAGGAGTAGAGGTAGATGTAGATTAGATTACTGTTAGCAAATAGTTAAGGATGTGGGTTGTTTTAGTTTTAGAGAAATACGAAGATTAGTCTAGGATAGAAGAGTGTAGAGATGCATGTTCAACCAGTTTTAGGACTCACGACCTTACGATGATGGCCCAAAAATTATGGCACGCAAGCTTCCTTCGCAATATGAAAAATTAAGGNTAATAAAAATAAAATAATATAATTTCGCTTCGAACGGTGTCATTTAATATGGCTCATTCTACTTGAAAAAAAGTTATTCGTCTTGTAAGATTGTTAAAAGTAAGGTTTCGATATTCCCGGTACTGAATAACGTTCACTTTTTACCCATAGCAAAAAAGATACGGTAATTTGTGCTAAAACAAACTGTCTAAACTGCAGGTTTTTAGTTTTTATGGTTTTAACATTCTTGGTTTCAAAAACAATTGAATATCTCAAAAACTATTAGAGATAGGTTCAGGGAACTGTTAACAAAAATTAAACAAAGAAACCAAGAATGTTAAAATATTCAGAGTTTTCCATTTAAAATAACGAAGTTAAGTAACGAACAGTAAGAATGGAGCACCCTGTACGATTGAAACTATTTTTTGTATATGCACCATATTATTTTAGTCCACTTTTATAAAAACATTGTTTTTATTAAAAGTATAATAACAGAGTCATAGGTGAAATGCCTTAGGTGGAACACCCTGTATAATTACAGAGGTATGTATCCGTGTGGTGTATTGTATTGTGATCAGGATCCAGGCACGAATTCAGAATTTTATTCAGGGAAGAGGTTAATTTTCGTGTGATTTTTCTGTTCTCCAAAATTTCTTTTAAATGAAAAATTCAGTTAATTTTTCACATAATACTTGCATTTGAATAATGATTTATTTATTGGTCATTAAAACAAAAATTACAAACAGTTCAATTTGATGTTTGAAAAAAGCAGGTACATAACCTATACCTAAAAATCTAAAAGCAATTTGAATATGCACTAGATGTAATAAAGTTAGTAGTTTTACAGTCAAACCGAAGAAATTTAACAAATAACAAGATAAATCTAAGCTATTTTTTACACTATCTATAAGTGTGGCAGCTGCTAATGTTAGGTAGAGATGAAAATTTGCCTCCATTCGCCCTAAGAAAAAAATCGTTAAATATGATATCGCCGATAGGAGATGTAACCTTTGAAATTGTCACTTGGGGGTCGTTTAAAACGTGCTGATACAGTTTGGAACATCTTTTGAATTATATTTATTGGTAATTATCTAAAAAACATCCACCCCTAGTAACTAAAGTTAAACTAAAAAACCACAACGAATATGTTTTGTTATAAATGTACACATATAACGGCGGATCAATATCGCGGCATATTTTCATCTTCAATTCAGTTTTGCTTGTTTACAGCATATCGCAATTTTTTTCGATTTTATCACATATGTTCAGAGATGTGATATATTTGAAATACTTGCATTTAAAATGCAAATACAAAATAAAAAATACTTTTTATCTTGCATTTAAATACTTTTGTATTTTATTTAAAATACTTTTCCATATGCATTTTCTATTTATAAAATGCAAAATACATTTTTGGCGTTAAAGTATTACTAGTATCACCGATCAAACATTATATAAAATGATGAATGAAAGTTGCTCACATTAGCCATTGAAGATATAAGAAGCTTAAAAAGGGTACAGAGAGACATTCCATGAATGCCTTCTAATTCTTTAACTGAAGAAAGCCAAATAAATTCTAAACTCCTTGGAAATAGATAATCTAATATATTGAATCGATATTGTTTTCCGGGTTCAATGTCATGGTTCATGGAATTTTGAAGTTCAAATTGATATCAACAGGTGTTGGTTTTGCCTTTAGCAAGGAACTACGAAATTCTATGAATTACGACAAAACAGCCCGCAAAACAATATCGAATTGATATATGCCAGCTGTGTAAAACTGAAAACTACAAAATATTGTGGTGTGCTAATAAATGCGTATAATCCAAAATTCATAGAAAACGATTCGAAAAACTTCACATATTAAATGAACCCAAAACTAAACAAATTATGGATTCCATTTCTTTCTCGTATTAAAATGTGTAAAAGATCAGAAACAAAATGGGGTTGTGAATATATTGATATAAATGATTAATGTTGATTTTACATCAATAAAACTTTTTGTAACCTCATTTTGGCTCTGATCTTTCATGCTAAACAAAGTAACAAACTATTTTGGCATCAGTGTCTTTTTTCTTATTAAAACGGATGACAAAGGCAAATAAGGAAGCATATAGAGAATTATTTGTTGCTGAACTGAAGAAACTATAGCATAAAGATAAAAAAATCGGTTGTCTGTAAAGTCGGTTTACTGACGATAGTTGAACGTGACAACGTCATAAGAAAATTTTATTTGTTTGATAGATATTTTGTATGGATATAGAGAAGAAGGTAAATGGAAATCACAATTGAATTGATCAAGTTACATTTATTTGTACTCATAAATACAATTATGTCAATTTTTATTTATTTTTTTTCCAATGTACATAGTTTTTACAAGTATGAATGTGCTTTGAGCAATTGTTTTACAACTTTTATTTACAACTTTTAAACATCATTAAAATTTTTGTAACTCTAGCTTCAATTCGACAATATATCACTGAACATATATTTAATATCGAAAGAATCATTACCTTTATCGCCGCAATTATCGTTGCTATAAACAATTGACACCACATTCACTTTTCACTGCACTTCATACTTGACGAAAACATGTAAATGTATTATTGTATAGCAGCTGTCCACGCGGACGCATCGCTCACT